ATATGGCTCTAGAGGAGGCTTATAGCTTGACGGCTTTGAGCCTCAGCTCTTCCACTATTCTGTGGCATACATTTGACTTTTTTTTTAAAAAAATTAAAGAATATTTATTATTTATTTTCAATATGCATGTATGTGTGTGAGCACGCGTGCACATTTCAGATCGCAGGTGGACAACTGTGTGAAGCCATTTCTCTCCTTCCTTGGGTTCTGGGAACAGACTAAGGCTGCCGGGTTTACAGGGCAAGCATCTTTACCCGCTTAACCATGTTACTGGCCCCCGCATCTGACTTCTTTTCTCTGTGTGTTGCACATTTGTTTATGTATTTATTTATCGTGTGTGCGTGCGCAGGTGTGTGCACGCACATGTGTTTGTATGCATGACGTAGCTCTCACGTAGAGGAGGCCGGAGGTCAACTTTAGGGAGTCAGTCAACTCTTGGCTGAACTTTTTGGCACGGACTAGATGAATTCCTTGGATTGGTTCCTCACTCACTTGCATGTTTCTAGTAGCGGGGTAGCCGGGTAGCACAAACCTGTCAAAAGGGCATCACTTGCCTGTTTCTAGTGGCCAAGTAGCACAAACGTGTGAAAACGGCATCCAAGTTAACGTGCTACTGCCATCTTGTGGCCGATTGCTGAACAACAGTAGAACCCAGACCATCACATCCGTGCACATGGTTAGGACCAATAGTTGCTAGCTGGTGTTGTCTATTTGGGACGACGGTTGCGACAGGTGGTGATACCATCCTCAAAACAGAGCATGTAATTAAAAACCTTCCGCACCAGCTGTCCCATGCCCTGGGTACAGTGACGGGCTGAAGGCGGGGTGTTAGTGAGTCCACCAGACCCAAGATAAAAATGATAAATGGATGTTTTATTGGGGAACAACTTACCCAGATAACAATAAAGAACCACAGTGGCGTTTCTGCTCCAGAAGACGCAGTCTCTGCCCTCCCAACTTCTCCACCTTCCGTCACATCCTCACCTGAAGCCACGCCCCAAAGGGGGCATGGTCACCAACACCAGTTCACTGGCAAGGACAGAAGCTACTACAATTCCCCTTTTAGTCTAAAGAAGAAGGTTTTAAGCCTGATGCAAAAACTATAGACAACGATAACAAATGTCAAGTGTACTCCAGGAAAAGGAAAGGTGTTGGTCCCTTCCCCCATTGGGGTCTGCTGACCATCTCGTGACTAGGAGCTTACTTCTTGTTTCCCTCCTTCCGATAAGGCCTGAACGCAAGGATGCAAAATATCCGCCCATCCTTATTGCATGAGGGGCCTGGGGACAGGAACTTCTGACCTGGGTAGTTTTCCACTGTGCCTGCTGACTGGTATATAAGCCTTCCCTCCTTTGTAATAAACGGCATTCTCCTTGCAAGAATGACCCGCTGTCTTGTCTTTATTGAATCCTCAGATCCCTCGCCCGAATCCGTGAGAAGTGTTGTAGCCTGAACTATTTGAGACTCTGTTTTAAAAACAAACTAAACAGCCAGGTGACAGTGGGTGAAAGACACCTTTAATTCTGGCACTTGGGGAGGCAGAGGCAGATGGATCTCTGTGAGTTCCAGGACAGCCTGGTCTATAGAGGAAGTTCCAGGACAGCCAGGGCTACGCAGAGAGGCCCTGTGTTGAAAAAGAAAAAAAAAAAAAAAGATTGTAATTAATCTGCGCATTTTGATGTGTGTTTGGGGATGATGGGTTATGGTGTGAGTATGTGTTTGCGAATACAGGAGCCTCAGGAAGCCAGAGACCTTGGATTCCCCTGCAGCTGGAGTTCCGCGCAGCTGTGAGCCATCCAAATGCTGGGACCTGAACTCTGGTTCTCTGCAGAAGCAGTAAGCACTTGTAACCACTGAGCGGGATCTCTAGTCCCAGTAGCCAAGGTTTTTAAAAGCTTATTTATTTATTTATTTATTTATTTATTTATTTATTTATTTAATTTTATTGTGAGCACGTTGTTACGGTGGTAGCTTCACCCCAGTCGCTGGCATCCATATACACAAAGAGTCTGGGATTTTATGGTGGAGGTTCTACCCAAGCTCCCCTACTCCTTCCAAACCCTGCTGCATCTCAGAAAGTCCGCCAAATGATGACCCCTCCCCCAGGGATACTCAAGACCACTCCCCAGGGTATTTAAACTGCCTCCCAGAAACCGGACTCATGGTTTTTTCCCTCCTGTCTCCCTTTCCCGTCTCCTCTCTGGGGGGGCTGGAAGGCCATCCAGGAGCGCTGTATCCATTAAACGTGGGCTTTTGCTAATTCGGTTTGACTAGGTCTGATTTGGACGGCTGCATCGGAGGAGAGGCTTATCCGGGTGCACATGTAGAGGTTGGTTTTTCCTTCCAGCGTGTGGGTTCCAGCTCCCAGCTGTAGCTCATTAGGCTTGGCGTCAAGTGCCTTCACCTGAAATCCATCTCACCAGCCTCGGAGCCCAGGGTCTCGGGCATACACGCTAGGCAAGTACTCTC